GCATGGAAGTGCTGAGAGGTAGGGGAGCCAGGACTCCTGGGTTCTCGCCCTGGCTCTGGGAGGGGAGTGGGGTCTAGTGGGTAGAGCAGGAAAGGGGCTGAGGCCAGGAGGCCTGGGTTCTCTCCCCAGCTGTTATAACTCAGTCCCTCCCGCCCCCACCAGACACAGCATTTGGGGATGTTCCTTGCAGGGGCAGATCCTGATCTGGGGGCAGGAGCAAGGCTTTGTGGGGGAAAGGGGGCTCAGGGTGGATTGGAAGGGAGGGGTGATGGAGACAGTTGGGGGGCATCGGAGGGGGGGGGTGGGGGACCTCCCCTCGCCCATAGAAACTTCCCCCTCAGGAGCTAACTCCTTCTGCCCACCCTGCCCTGCCTCGGGGGCCTCTCCGGGGCCAGGCGTGGGCTCTGCTGTCCACCCAGCCACTGCGGGCTCCATCTCTGGGCCGGCCTGCCTTTGGCTAATGATTGACAGATGCAGCGTCTGGGCACCAGAGGGATCCGGGGCGGGACGAGCGCGCTCGGGTCTCGAACCAAGAGCCCGCCACATGCTCTCCGAGATGTGGGAGTCAGGTCCCACTGGTGCGACCCCTCCTCCCCCCGAGGCCGGGGGGCTCATGTGAGGGGCAGCCGCAGAGCTGTGGCCAGACGCACTGGGGCTGCTTTCAGGGGAATACTTGTACGTGCTCTAACCACTGGCCCATACTCCCTTCCTGAGAACCCAGGAGTCCTGACATGCAGCCCTCCTGCCCATACCCACTCGACTCCGCTCCCCTCCCAGGCTGGGGACAGACCCCATGAAGCACTGGCAATGTTCCCCCGCCCCCAAGGAGACTGGCATCTGCCAAGGCGGAGAAGGGCCTTGAACTATGACGCTTTCCTAGGGGTCCCACTCTCGGCCTTGGCCAGCTCCTGTGGCGTGGGCAGGGGCCCGGGACAGAGCCAGCCGGGCTGGTCTAGCAGGGTTCTCCAGGTTCCTGGCCCGCCCCCCTAGCCATTTGTCCGGCTGGGAACCTGGGGGTGGGGGCGGATGGACGTGATGTGACCAAATATCTGTGCTGGGGCGGGCATGGCCCTGCTGAGAGATCAACGCAAAGGGGCAGTTAGGGGGCTCTGGGAAGGGGAGGGGGGTCTAGTGGCTAGAGCGGAGGGAGGGACTGGGAACCAGGACTCCTGGGTCTGTTCTCCCTGCTCTAACCATTGGGCAGAACTGCCCTCCCGGAGAGCCTGTGGTCATTCTGCTCTGCTGGGTCAGAACAATGGGCTCTCTGGGGCTTGGCGGGGAAGTAGTACACTGGGTACAATGAGGGGCGGGGTGCACCTGACACCTAGGGGAGGAAATGGGTCTCTCCCCCAGCCTGTGCTGGCTCCAGTGCCCCCGGGTGGCAGGAGGAGGTGCCATGCTGCAGGCAGACAGAAGGACCCGTTGCGTGCAGCTGTTTTCCCCACCGCCCCACCCCAGAGGTGGCTGCATCTCACCAGCATTTTTCCAGGGGGCAGGGAGAGGGATCTTGCGCTGAATTAATTTTCCCTCGAGGCGGCCTCTGAGCCCAGGAGCTTGCTCCAGAGGTTGGCGGCTCTGGGCATGAGTCGAATGACCCCTTTGTGAACTTCCTCTCTCCAGTTGATCGTGCCAACCTGCGCCCTTCCGCCGCCGCCTCCTCCTCTGCCCAGCAAGAGGTGGCCACCAAGATCAAGCAGACGCACAGCCTGACCGTGCTGCTGAAGCGCTGCTCGGAACAGCTGCTGGCAGAATATGTGAGCATGGAGGGGTGGGCCGGGGGGGGAATCGGACTCCTCTCTGTGTGTGTCTTGCTGTCCCCTCGAGCCCACTTGCCTACACATTTTTGTCTATTGCCTGGCTTCAGTCCTAGGGGAAACCCCCTCCGTCTGTTCCCCTGTTGACTCTTGAACCTAATGGTGGGCCTTCAAGCATGAAATGTGTCATGGATTTCACTGCCGCTCTTACAGCTCAGCGCTTCAGGCAGTTCTCTGGGATCCCAGGCCATGCCCACCGCCCCTGCTGTAACCACTAGACGCTGCTCCCTTCCCAGAGCTGGGGGTAGAACCCCGGAGTCCTGACGGAGTCTCTCTCCATTCCAGGTGCGCCACCAGGGGGAGCCTTTCAGCAGTGCCAATTTTCAGCCCCCTGCAATGACAGTGCCTGGCCTGCCCTCGCCCCCCGTCTCCCTGGAGGCCTGGCTGGCACTGAGTGACGGGGAGCGACTGTGGCACCTCGCCGTGGCCTACGCCGCCCTGCCCGGACTTCTGGGTGCCGTGCCGCAGCAGCAGCACG